TGTTTTAATTGTGGAACTGAGAAGTAAAGGCGAGATGAAGCCTTAGAGCTCGTAATGTTATTAGAATTAAAATCTGCAGCACCACTTTTAACAAACTCACAAACTAAATTTCCGCATTAACTTGGGCAGTACGGATCACAAATATCATCACATTAATCAATTTCTACTAAATAATTACATCCTTTTAAAATAATCAACACGGTGTTTAGTGATTTTTCGCAATTTTATAAACGCATTAAAGCCCAGGCGCAGTCCTGAGAATTTGTCACAAGGTCGTGAAAATACACCGAGTATTTGAAGCACGTCGTCGAGTATTTTCGTGAATTCTGTGCTCCTGTCTTTTTGTCCGATGTCAAGAATAATTTGGCTTTCATATTTCGCTCTCTGTCGGAGACGGGTGCAACCGAAATTATATACCCACAAAATCATATACCCACAAGTTTTTTTTTTTGAAGAAAGCCGCTGGCAGTCTTCCCTTCCAGTTTATTGCCCATGCCAATTTAATGTTGAAGCAAATAAACGAATTGAGGAAATATTGGTTTCCTACTAGAGGAATTGAGCTTTCGACCCCTAGCATTAAACTTTACTTATTATATCATGAGGAAAGTTCCACACGCAAAGTCAACTCTCCAATTCCGCCGTGCATTGATAAAGTGGGCATAGTTGTAAATTAAAACACCAAATGAACCAAGTTCTGGTACCTCACAGCGAGTCAAAAAATTGTCAGAGGATAATCGAAGTGGGTAACAAAGAAGTTCAGTATTATTTCCAATTGCGGCGATCACACCATGGTAGTAAAGTAAGAAGAGTTGTTGCTGACTGAAATCATTCGCGAAACTATTGTAAGACACGAATTTTTGCAGGTGGTCATAAATTCAGATAATGAAATTGTCGGCTATGGATCAGCGCACTTGTTTTCAATATGGGATAGTCCAGGGTTTTCTCCAATATACGGCGACAGCGAGCTCGTTTTCCTGGCTCTATTTGGTGCCTTAGTCGAGCATTTCAAAGAACAAATCCAACGGAAAAATGTGGTCGATTTACGCATACCGAGTGTTCAGTTAAAAGCACTTCGAGCGGCTTTGCAGGGATTAGCCGATATCAAAGAAGTTAGTTCAGCTTGCAATTTGTCGAATGCACTGGATCAGCATAGTCCTATCTGGATACGTTACTACCGGTCGGAATTGGTGATTACCGTGATTCTATCACTAGTATCTGACTTCTTTTCTGTGGGTTTGTCAGAAGCGTGTAATGCAACAATCATCTGATTCGAGCTTTACGTAGTCAAAAAATTCTTTTCGAATGAAAGTTATCCACCAATAATAAGTTTGCTCTCGATTTAAACCTCAGAGAAGCAGCGATCTAAGTATGTTCATTACCCAAAATCCTCGAGATAGCAAATACAGAAGGTGCACTTTGCAACATCTTAAGGAATCCGATTCTAGCGTTATAGAGAGTTGTTCCAATTAAATCTCGATCCATTTTTTCAGACTGCAACAATACCTCTGATGTTTACAAAAGTTGTGCCAGAACACGATGTCAACAGAATTTTCAGTGTTTCCGATTTGAATATGTTCATTTAGCTATTTACTTGATTATTTTTTGTTGCTTCTCTTTGCGTTTGTACCTGTTTTTCATTCTGTAATAAACATAAATGGCGGAACCCATTATGCGGTTGACACAGCCGTACGTTTTTGCGATAAGCAGCTGCAGGTTAACAAACTGCGAATTCGGTAGTTTGATTTGCTTCATCATAGTAGCTGTTTAGTTATTCATCATTTTATAGTAGTGCTACCTATAACGAACAAAGATTTGAGGTGTCATGCTACGTGCTGTAATTGCATTGGCGTGAAGTCAGATCGTGAAGCGAATTGCTGAAGGACGTTGAGGAAGTGAAAGTTGATTCTACGTTTTTGGATCTGTACTTGACCAGAAAATACGCTTTAAACTTCAGCTTCTTATTTTTTTTATTTCAACTATTGTCGCACACACTCAAAAACACAAAAATATATCCACACAGATAGTTTTTACACTGGCTTCTTTTTTAAACAGAAACGCATACAAATCAAAATAACGACACACCGCTAAACTCGAAGCAATCAGATCGTTAGCAGTATGAATGGTTGCTGCTTTACAGTTTGGCATGTGAATTCGTGTTGGGTATGTTTTGGCCTTTTCTTGCATGATCGTGGGATGAGTCGATTCCCAGCGGAGCCTAATTTAGTAACTGTCCACAAATGCCGGCTACCAAACCAGCTGGGTGATAGTCAGTAAGAAAGATGACGAGGATTAATTCCGAATTCATTTCCGTTTTCACACAGTTATGAAATAGTAAAATGTAGGGGATGGACTGAGTGTGTTGTGTATGAACACGTATTAGGATGCAGTCTGTGTTTCATTCCTTAGCTGTAAACACAGAGCAAACTTGCGTGCAAGCAAGAGCAAGAATCATTAGCACGGCTTTCTCCTGCCAAATACTGAATAACCGTATGACTAATTTGCAAAACAAATATGCGAAGGAAAAAGAAAACAGAGAAAGTAAAAGGAAAGCGGAAGAAAAGAGAAAGAGCAGAAAATTTATTTGTGAAAGTTTCTGCTGTGCAATATACGTGTGCGTTTGTTTCGTGTGTTCGTTTAGGCGCGTGCGTGTCTGTATTTGCGTGAGTATGCTTATATGTGTGCATTTGTGTTAGTGTGTGTGTATTTGCAAGTGTTTTTGTTAGATTATGTGTGTGTGTGTGTCCGCCGCTGACTCATATTTGTAGGGGGAAAGTAATAGCTCAGGTCGTTACACTTGCCAGGAATATAATTCCCGTTCACCAAAACAGTAACGCCTGCAACAGTTACTTGAAACTGGTTGTGTTTTTTTGAAATATTTCATTTCCTATCTCTCAAAAAATTTTGTTTGTCGTTCGACAAAGTTCAAAACACTGCCTTTAGCTGTATCAAGTCATCGTTTTTATTACCATTGTACATTGATTTCCCATAGTTGCAATTATATCTGAAAACAGCTCACTTGTCTGGCTTGTTGCAATTATATTTGGGAGCCTCCCTAATCAAATTTTGGTACTTTTTTGGTATGTTAAGTATTTCAGTATTTGAAGTATGTTTTTGAACTTACAACTGCTATGGTTAAAAAGGGGTTCACAAATCATCAAAAAAAAGTTTTGCGATGCTACATTGCTCTTACAGGACCAAACTGGTGCACAGTTCGTTAATATGGCATTTCATTTCTATATGTATAAAGGTTCAGCAACTAAAGTCTGAGATAGTATCTCCAAAAAACCATGTGATAACAGAGGCCGGGCTCGAACTAAATAAATTTCAAAGAAAATTTCAGTGGAAAACCATTGTAAACCTTCCACCCACTGGATCTGCTTTTTCACTTTGTCAATATTACCTATATGGAAGATTTTATTTCATATTCACGCGTTTTCAAACATATTTGTGGTTTTAGACGGAAATGTGTTTGATTATGTACTGGGCGAGAAACTCTCGAATTTCATGAACTTGAGTTCAGACATCAAAATAATGGATGAATTAATATTGGTGCCAGGTGGACAAAGTGAATTCGAGGACTGGGTGAAAGCGAGCTCGGCGAGCGAACATTGGACATATAGCTATGGCGATTACAAGTGCTATAAAAAAATGCTTGGGAATGAAAACTTTCGTTTAATGGTCGCGAAAACAAAATGTATTTCTTGTACTTATGTCAAGCAATCATTCTAAAAAGTCAGCTGTCAAAGATGATCAGTAGCTCTGCATAGCAGTGCAGTGACTTCGATGCCAGAAAATTGGTGAAATTTTCGATGGCTCCGGTCCTCTCGCCTGCAAATCAACTCCATTACAAGCAACACTAGTAACGTGTGGCTTTTTTTATGCGTTTTGCTGTGCAGCGCTATAGCAGCGCTATAGCGCTGCACAGCAAAACGCATAAAAGCTATAGCGCTAAAACGCATATTGTCGAGAGGCTGTGTGTGTGTGTGTTCGCAATGCGAGTGCATTTTGTCACCCAC